TTTGCAAGCAGCCCCAGCCCATCCACCCTTGCGTCTGGGAGACGTGTGAGCCCCGCGGGGTGATCCTGGGGCTGCGTTGGTGCGCGGGGCAGCGGCGATGCTCGGGGCTGCGGGCTCCTGGCGGCCGTTCCGTGGAGCTCGGCTGTCCTCTAGCGCCCGCCCGCCTCTATGGCACGGCGGAGCCGGGCGGGGAAACAGAAACGGAAATTACAGACCCGGCCCTGCGGAGCCCGACCGCCACTTCTCAGCCTCCTGCTCCATTTCAGCCTCTGTTTTTCCTGAGCTTCAACGGTTAGGGATGATTGTGGGGTTTTTTTTTGGCCTTTCGTTACCTGCTGGCATCCCAGCCCCATTTGGACCCCACTCTTTCTGGTCTCCCGACACCTTTCAGCCTCCCACACTTCTGTGTCCTCCCCTCCTTCCCAATTTTTCAGCCTCCCTGCTTTTCGACCCTCCCCCCTTTTTTTGGGCATCTCACCCTTTTTTTTTGGCCTCCAACCTTTTTTGGCCTCCAACCTTTTTTTCAGCCTCTCCTCTCTTTCAAGCCACCCATTTATTTTTTATATTTTTTTACCTAGACATTTTTTTGCACTTTCCACTCTTTTCCAGCTCTACTCTTTTTCTGGCATCTCCACCCTTTTTTATTCTGTCCCCACCTTTTCAACCTTTGCTTTCGTTCATCCTCTACCTCTGGTACTTCGGGGGGGGCGGTGCAGGACGCAGCGTTTTCATTGCACAAAAGCGAGCTGGCAGAGCTCGTATTGCTCACAGCTGCTGCCTCCCCGGGGCTCCCCTACTCACAGCGATGCAGGGGGGCGTTGGGGCTGGCGGGGGCTCAGCACCGCTCACGGGGCAGCCATCAGCCCGGAAGGGTCTCGCAGCACCGCCCATACGACCCAGAGGCAATGGGTTGTTCGGGAAGAAGAGGGAAGAAAAACCAAACCGGGTGACACCCCCAGCCCCGACGGTGTCGCTGTGCAGAGGCGGAGCGCGACCACGAGGGGGAAGCAGCGGGACGGGGTTGTGCGGGGCTGCCTGGCATCTGCGGTGCGGGGCCGGGAGCATCGCCCTGCTGGGGGGCACCGACCCTGCTGGGGGGCGGCCATCCCTGCTGGATTTCGCTCTGGTAACCCTGCTGGCTCAGCATCGCTTCCGCAGAGGTTTGTCTTGGAAAAGGGCGATGCCTCCCTGCTGGGCTGCCCGCTCGGCTGGACCCAGAAAGGACCCGGAGTGCTGCTGCTGCTGCTGCTTCCACCTGCGTTCCACCACCGCGGTGTTGCCCTGTCCCAGCCCAGCTGTGGCTGAGGTCCGGGTACGAGGAGCTCCGCCCCACGGGATGTGCGTTCCCAGCCCTGCATGCCGAACGCGATCTCCACGCACTGCCCCCCCTCACCAGCCCCTTTCCCACCCCCACCATCTTCAAAGCCAGCGACCTGGCAGCCGTTCTAAAACCCGGGCAGAGCCTCCATGCCACAGCTTGGCACGCAGCTCAAAGGCTCAATTAGCAACATCTGCTTTTGTGGGCTGTAAAACCTGCTCTCTGCTCCCCTCCCTCGCTCCCAGTGCTCACAGCTGGGAGCAGCATGGGGCTGCAGCCTGCCTGGGCCGGGAGAGCTGCACTGGGCTGCCCCGAGGGGATAGATAGTGACACAAAGGGATGCTGCCCCGATGGGATGCTGAGGGTGGTGGGGCATGTTTGAAACTAGAAACTGGACAAGGATCAGATTTCTCACCCGAGGTTTGTGTAAGGATCCTTGTGAAGTGCATTCATGCTGGTCTCTTCCAGGAGATAAGAAATGTCAGAGAAAGAATTGGAAAATGCCCAAAGTAGCTGGCAAGGCAGTGGGGTGCATGGAGAGCAGAGGGCCCTGCAGCCCTCCCCAGTCCTACTCCTCATCTGCAGCTTGGCCACACTCAGATCTATGGGCTGGTGAGAGACTGGGCTGACTGTTACAGCTGCTGCTGCTCCAGGCAGCCAAGAGCTCCAGGTGAGATGCATTTCTCTTGTGAGATACAGCCCCCCATGCATCCTACTGGTGTCTGCTCCCTGCCACCAATTGGGTAGGGTGCACAAGGGGCAGTGCAGGAATGGGCTCAAGGAGTGGGGATTCACATGTATGCAAGTGGCACAGCCTGAGCCCCCCCTGCCCATAGGAATGGGGCAGAAGTGATTCTCCTGTCCAAGTTCTCCTCTGGGGCCAAACAAAACCAGGGCTCTCACAGAAATTAGGGCGTGCCCTGACTTATGCTGTTCTCCTGGCAGTTCAGGGCCCAGAACAGCCATCTCTTAGCCAGCTGATTTTAATCAGAAATTGTTTCCCTGTGTTACAGGCAAGGGCCTATGTACCTTTGGTACACCTGCAGTAGAAACCAGTAAATCAGCATTCAAAGTTTCATCCCATCTCCTTACACGTGCCCAGATTGGCTGTGCAGGTGGTGCACAGTAAGAGGTGACTGCTAAGAAAACTCAGCCTTTGCATCTCTGCTTGGTGTAAGAGAAGTGCTGATAGTGGCCCTTGGATAACAGCATCAGCAGAGAAGTCCAAGGAAGGCTGAGCAAACTGACCCATTTGCTCACAAGGGCTGTGTGTAAACCATTATTTTTGCAATAAAAGAGCAGGGGCTGGGAGGAGCAGTTAATGTTTTCCCAGCAAGGGGAAACTCCCAGGGGAAATAGCCCTGCACCCTGGAAACGGCCCCTTCGTCAAACAGGGCCGTGTTTGTGCAGCCTTATCTCAGCTCGGTGATGCTGAGCAGGGGCAGGCTCTGCAGCAGCACTGCTCCCAGCAAGAAGTGCTGTGAGCTCCTACCAAAGCCTGAAGCAAGATGTGCCTGGGCCGAGATGTGAAGATCAGGGCTGACCTGGGTTTCTTTGCCAGGGTTTTCCTCCCCTGAAAGCCCTTCCTGCTGTTTGTCCTTCTGCTTGCATTCAGCCCACTTGCACCCACCTTGAGCACCCAAAGTGGCAGGTGGGATGCAAAGTCTTCTGGTCTGGGAAGAAGCTGAACGCTGAAAAAAAAAACACACCCACTCTGTTGACCCAAATAGCACCTAATGTGAGGGACTTTTATTGGCAGCCAGCTGACCTTAGCAGAGCCTGGGAGAACAGAGTGGGATCAGCAGGGGTGCAGGACTCTGCCTTGCCACAGCCTCTGCAGAGAGGTGCTGGGACGGGATATGCGGTCCTGTTCCTCTGTGCTCCATCAGCTGCCACAGTGCCCAGAGCAAGTATGTGGAGCACTTTGCTGTTAGCAGCATCTCTTGGGGTACAAAAGCCTTCAAGGGACTCCACTACTCCATCTAATCCAGCATCTCCTGCCGAGCTGGAGGAGCAGGAAGGGAGGAGAGGGGAGAGCAAGAGGGAAGCTGTGCCATGGGCTCTGTAGTGCTCTGCAAGTGCCACAGACACTCATGCCACAGCTGGGAGATGCCCATCCTCCAGCCTGGGCTGCAGCTTTGCCTACATCACTCTCAGTGATGTTTGCCATTTGCTCGTTCCGGCTGTAAAACCTCTCTTGGCTCTTCCCCAGCTCTTTTCTCACCTCAGTGCCTCAGCTGGAGCACAGCTACCTGTAGGAGTGCACGCAGCCTGGGCACGCTGGACCTGATGGTTAATGCACACTGAGATCCAGGTGACAAGAGGCCCCGTGGGGCAGCTTTCTCCTCCTCGGTTCCCCTCCTGACACAATGCTTGTTGTCCTCCGGAGGAGGAAAAGAAAGAGTTGGAAAAAAAAAGAAGAGAGCAGCAGAAGTAGGAAAACCCAAAACCCAGAGCTTTAGAAGGGAATTTGCCTGGATTGTGCTGCTGGGTTTGGGGCAGGTGAGAGGCAGCCCTATGCTCATCCATCCCTGCAGAATCCCTCCTGCCCCAGCCAGCCGGGAGACCCCAGGCAGCCAGCAGAGAACTGCAGAATCGTAGAGTCGTCGGAATTTGAGGGGTCCTTTAAAGGTCATCTGGTCCAGCTCCCCTGCAACGAACAGGGACAGCTACAGCCCCTCCGCTGCTGAAGGGCTGCTGGCGCTGCTGGGCGGCGTGCTGTGTTAGTTCATCTGGGGACAGAGCTTGATGAAAGCCCCATAAATAGGAACACTTGAACCAGTTCCCACAGCCAGGTTAGCGCCCGAGGGTGAGGATGGGTTTGTGTACAGCGGAGTCTGGGAGCAGCTCCGCCAGCGGGGCTCGTGGCACAGCGCCGTTTGCTTCCGTTCCTGGGGAAGCCGATAGCTGGCCGAACGAGCCTCGCGTTCCACCAGCCCGCAAACAGCGTGCTGGCAGGGCTGGGGGCACACCGAGTGACCCCCCCCCCCCCCCTCCCCGTTAGCTTCGGTGCTTCTTCAGCGCTCCCCGGAAATCCAGCGCTCGGGGCTGGGCTCCTCCCAGGGCAACCAGGGGGTGCGCAGCGCTCAGCCCGTGTCACAGCCGTGTCCGCGGCCGGGCCGTGCGGGGCGGCGCGGGGCGCTCCGGGAGGGCGGGCGGGAAGCGGCGGCGCGGAGCTGTCCTTCAGCACCACGGCACCTGCCGGCCGGCGCCGCTCCGGGCGCTGCGGGGCCGTGCGGGGCCGGCGGGCAGTGAATGGGCGGCGGGCGGGCGGCGGGGGGGCCGTGCGGGCGCGCAGGCGCAGGGCTGCGCGGCTCCTCAAGGTGTTGGCGGCGCGGCCGAAGATGGCGACAGACTGAGGGCAATGGGGCCCGGCGGTGGGTGCGGCGGAGGGGCCGGCGGGCTGGCGCAGCCCACGGGGAAGCGGAAAGCCGAGTGAGAGCGGGGCCGGGGCATGCCCACGCGCGGCGGGCCGGGGCCGGGAGCGGGGCCGGGAGCGGGGCCGAGCCGGCGCCGCCTCCTCCTCCTCCTCCTCCTCCTCCTCCTCCCGCCGCACCATGCCACGGCCGGCGGCGGCCTGTAGGCGCGGGCATGGAGGCGGCGGCGGAGCGGCGGCGGCGCGGCGGCCGCAGGTGACATTGGCGGCAGCGCGGCCGCAGGACCCCCGCGCCGCCCCCGCGGCATGATCCGCGGCGCCTGGATGTACCCCCGCGGGGGCGCCGGCGGCGGGGCGGTGTGCTGCGCGCCGCGCCGCAGCGACAAACCCGTGGCCGACCCCGAGCGGGCGCAGAAATGGCGCCTCTCGTTGGCCTCCCTCCTCTTCTTCACCGTGCTCCTCTCCGACCATCTGTGGCTCTGCGCCGGGGCCAAGCTGCGCGCGCGGGAGCGGAGCGGCGCGGGGAGGCCGCGGGGCCGAACGGCCCGAGCGCTGCAGGAGCCGCCCGCCGGCAGCTGCGAGGCGTTCCTGGGCAACCTGAGCCGCGCGCCGGGCCCCGCGCCGTGCCCCGCAGCCCGCGCGGACCTGGACTCGGCGTGCGCCCGGCTGCACTCCCTGCAGCGCCTGCTGGGCTCCTTCGCCGGCGTGCCGCTGCGCTCGCCGCCCGCCACCGCCCTCTTCTCCTCGCCCTCCTCCAAGAGGAACTTCTTACAGGCGTACTTTAGGAACTTCAACCTCTCCTTTTGTGATACTTACACGATCTGGGACCTGCTGCGGGAAATGGGAGGCCCGGACAGCTTGGATTGCAGCGTGGAGAACCTGATGGTGGATCTGGTGGCGGCGGCGGCGGGCGCGCTGGGCGGGGAGGCGTGCAGCAGCTGCGTGCAGGCCTACCAGCGCCTGGACCAACACGCTCAGGAAAAATACGAGGAGTTCGACCTCTTGCTGGAGAAGTACCTGCAGTCGGACGAGTACTCGGTCAGGTCCTGCATCAGAGACTGCAAGGTAGGAGCAGGGCCCCGCCAGGGCTATCCGCGGTGTGGCTGTGAAACGGGCCGGGGTCGTGGGGAGGTTGAAGGGAAGGGATGGGGCACTGGGCAGAGGTCCTAGCCACGGCAGGATGGCGTGCCCTCGTGTCCCCATACTGGTCCCTAAGTCCATGGTGTGGGACCGGAGCCCCAGGGTGGGACTGGAGCCCTGGGACGTGGCACAGTGCTGAGCATCCCCTCGCACCCACCCACCCACATGCACTGCAGACTCCAGCAACGCACGCAGGTTGAGTAGATCAGGTGTGAGACCTCCCACCTCTGCCTCTGGCCTGCACAGAGCGCTGGGGCAGCGCAGGACCTTCCCTGTGCACTGCTGTACAGGATGTACAGATGGCGGTGACCTGAGATGAACCACAGAGCAGAGACCCCTCCCCAGGGGCAAGGTGGGTGCGCAGACATCTCCCAGCACCTCAGCCCCTTGTCCTGGGGGTTGGACTGGTTGGTGTCACCCAGCATCACCCGCGCCCAGCCCAGGATGCATGGTACAAGGGGCCGGGAGCTCGCTCTGGGGCAGGTATCACCAGCCCTGCCTTTGGGGCTGTACCCCAACGTGTGGCCCCATCTCCGTGCCCTGCTGCACCCGTAGAAGGTGACAGAGCCCAAGTCTCGCAGGCATCGCCTTGCTGTCAGCAGAGCAGAGGTCTGCGGGGCAGCCCATGTTCCTAAAGCCACAGGACTGCTTTCCAAGCATCTCATGGACTAGATGTTGCTCCTCTTGGGCATTCCTCACCTTTCCCCTCTCTTCAGTGCTGTCTCCAGGAAGCACAGTGGTCCCGGTAATTAAACCTGCAGCATCTGGGAGCAGCAGGAGTGCCATAGCTAGGCACTGTGTGTGTGCGTCACCACAGAGGCACAGCATCCCTGGGAGTGGGACGGGACTGCCCCTTGCCTGGAGCATGTCAAGAGACACATGGAGCTGCACAGCAGTTCCTGGAGCAGTGTTTTCTCCTGGGGAAGCACAGACCTGCTGGAGGTGGTGCCTTTCACTGTGGGCATGGCCGTGCGGTGCTGCTGGGGCTCTCAGCAGCTCCTGCATGGAGCCGTTGTTGGGAGGGAGCTGGTGTTGGCATGCTGGGCTGGTGCCAAGCCAGGTAATTGCAGTCTGCATGCTGAACTTCCCCCTGTGGTTCTGCAGCTCCTTAGTACTCCACTTGCACCAAAGGGTTTGGTGCTGCTGCTCTGCTCCTGACAGCAAAGGAAGCAATGTACCTCATGCCATGTGTGTGCCAGTGGTGCCCAGTGGGCTCAGCGGAGTGCAGGAGGAGATGGGAGGGAGCCCACTCTCTGCAAGGTGCCTGCGTATGCCCAGGGGCATTGGGATGTGGGCAAGCTTGTGTACAAACAGCTGGCACCAGTGGTTCCAGTGGGTAGTTCCTTCACCCAGTGTTATCCCACTGGCATTAAAAGATGGTGAGGAGAGGTTGGCTTTTTAGGAGAGCAGAAGGAGCATGAACACCATGTATGAGGTGGGGTTTTGGCAGAGCTCCCTACGTCTACTGCTCCCCAGCATCGCCCTTCCTGGTACAGAGACCTCGAGAGCAGTGATCAGAAAGAGAAAATAGACCTTGTCTATGGTAAAGAGGTGTTCTCATTGACTCCAGAGCACTAGAAACAGAGCCTGGCTCGGATGAGTTTTCCTTCGGTGTCCGTGGGCTGAGCATCCTCGATGAGAAAGCAGGAAACGAGCTTGGGAGCTGAAGGCAGCTCCCGACTCACCCGCTGTCACACTCACACTCTCCTCCTTGCAGCATCTGCGAGCACAGCTCTGGGCAGCAACAGGAGGGTGTGAGCAGCATGTGCAACCTGTGAGCACTCACCCGTGTGAGATGCGGGGAATTTCCCATGCCTGAATTTTCCAAGGTGTCCGTGCAATCTCTCGGCTCTCCCTCTCTTTTCAGCATCTGGTGAGCATCAGGCCGCTTGCTTGAGGTGCTTCTGTCTGCATTGAGGTGCCTGGGGGCTTTCAGCAGTGGAAAGCTCAGCCCTGCCCTTTCTGTGTGAGTCCAGACTCAGTTTGGTGCGTTCTGGCCCTGTTTCCTCATGGCTCAGCAGGGCTAGACTGGCAGCACTGTCTGGCGGGACTTTGAAACAGCCAGGCTTTGCAATCCCTGCCCAAGCACTGAATAATATTGAGTTTTCCAATGTTGCTTTTGGCTGTGTGCTGCTGGAGTGAATACCTGTGTGCAGCAACAGCAGACAGCTGCTGCCCAGCGGTGGCAAAATGCGTGGGTCAGTGACAGCAAAAAGTGAGAGGAGAAAAATACAACAGGGAGGTGGCCAACAGCCTGACCCTGCCTCCATTCATACCTTCCTGCTCCACAGCAGGGGCTGGGAGATGAGATGCCAGCAAGGAGAGCAGCTCCGTCCTGCTCACCCGTGCGCCCCTCAGCTGCTGTCCCTCTGCAGGGCCGTGTCTTCCCCAGCAGTGACGTCCCCAGGGAGCAGCACAGCTCAGAGAGCAGCACTGGGGAACTGGGAGAGAGTGAACCAGCATGGGGATGTGGGCCGTGCTGCTTTAACACAGCAACCGAAGTGGTGCGGGTGCCGCTCAGACACTTGGAGGCTCCCCGTGTTTTGGGTGAGTGTGTCAGTTCTGCTGCCCTCCTCCTGCATGTTTCGTACCCTTTGTGGCTGCAGGGCAGGAGGGGCTCTGTGCACACAGTGGCTGTGCTCAGAAGGGCTCTGGCAGCTGGATACCCACAAACACGGTGGGTGCTGTGGCCACATCTCCCTGGGGACACCTGGGGCACGGGGAGCCTTTGCGCACGCGAACGATCTGCTCCATCTTTGCAGGATGCAGTGCAGGGGGAATCCCCGCTGCTTCGAGCTGCCATCCCTTGGGATACTTCAGGCTGATTTTCTTCCCTTGTTTTCTTGTCTTTCTGGGTAGACAGAATGCAGCGCTGCCTCTCACTGAGCTGCCGTGAAATGAGATGTTTGTTGCTTTAAAGGCGGTGGCACTGCGCGTGTGCTGCCCAGCGCAGCCAATCGCCGCCCGGAGAGCACTCCGAAAAGCACGCATCCCCACCCTCGTTAGGGCAAATAAAGATCTATGGGATGGAGCCTGGTGAATTAGGGACTCATTAAGCTGCGAGAAACAAAGCTGCAGAGGGAGAAAGCCTGACAGGCGGGAGCTGCTGGGCGATGCTGGGCAGCTGCCTGGGCAGGACCTGTAGCATCTCAAGGCAGATTAGAACAGCGGGGCTTCACTGAGTGCAGGGCTGGCACTGCATCGCCCTGCAGGCCTGGCTCTGTCCCCATGCTGGTTTCCTCATCGTCTGTTAGGGAGCAGGACACAGCTTTACCTCCCCAGGTTTTTGGGCAGTGCAATGAGAGATGGAGTTTGGTCTCCATGTGAGCAGTGGAAGCAGCTGGGACACGACGTGGGGATGTCTGGCTGAGCTGCCCTTCTGCCCTGCTGTTTTCTTGCTCTGGTACAGGGGGTCAGAGAGGAGGGATGGGAGCAGGGAGAGGGGTTGCAGCACCCACCTGCAGCAGGAAGGGTCTGAGGTGCATCCGGACCACTGCCATGCCCTGAGAGGTGTGCTGATAGCCATGGCCCTGAAAACAAAAGGAAAAGTGCTGTCTTTTCCCCAGAATTGCTCTTTGCTCTTTGCTGGTGATGGCATTACTCACATTTCATGAGGTGAACAAAAAAAAAAATCCCAAATAAACAGTGGATCAATGCAGTACTTAAATTGGGAATTTTAGCAAAGACCATATGTGCAGGCTTAGCCGAGCATGCAGTGCAGCACTGCACACCCATCCCCTATAAACAGAGGTAATCTCTTTCAGCCCTGAACCACGATGTGATTAAAAAGAAGGAATCTGAACCAAAGGAGCGTGCAGTTGGTGAGCAGTCGGTGTGCAGTTGCAGCAACCATGGCACAATTCATACACCTCATGCAAGATCTTTGAAAACTCAGATCAGAGATGGGCAGGGTCTTCTGCAAGCAAAACGGGAGAGGCAGAAAGGGAATGGGCTGCTGTGTCGTGCAAAGGGGGCATTCTGCTGGTGGATCCCACAGGGCAAAAAGGAAAAAAGGAAAGAAAACCAATCCAAGTTTCTGACCTCAGCCAGACTTTGTGCAGCAACAGCCAGGTTAGCAAATGGTGCATGAGAGGGTGAGAGCTCTGTCTCCATCGGCTGTCACCGGGCAGCTACAAGTGACGCAGGTGCCAGCGCTGCTCCAGTGCCTGTGTGCTGCAGGCGCGTGCCGTGGTGCCGAGCAGCTTTGTGCCTCCAAGCAGGACATATGGGGTGAGGCTGGAGCAGCTCCCCGAGCCTCCAGCAGCTGGAGGTGATGGCTTTGGAGAGCACCCAGCGTGCGAGGTGCTGCTGGGCTGCGGGCAGCAGGCGGTGAGCTCAGCAGAACGTGCCCAGTGCTGGTGAGCTGCTGGGCTGGAGCAGGGCCACCTCCCGCTGGGGCTGTGTGACAGGCAGCAGGACGTGCTGTCCCTGCAGACAAGGGGACCTAGCAGTGTCACGCTGCCTTGTGCAGCCCCGATGCTCTCTAGCACCCCAAGGCACTGCGCCAGGTGCGGGAGCTCATGGCAGAGCGTGAAGCCCCAGAGGCAGCGGGGCTCCGTGGCAGCGATGCCCACGGGGTTTTCCTCTGCTGGCAGCAGGCAGGATGCACCTGGGCTGTCACCGGGATGCCATTAGGATGCGGCTCATGCGTGGCTCTGCACAGAGGAAGCAGGGCTCCGCTGTCGTTTGAAGGGCAATGACTAAGGGACAGCAAATCTGTGAATGAGACACGGAGGCTGCTTGGGTGGGAAGGAGCCGACCCTGCTGCCCACAGGCCCTGCTCACCTTCCCCTTCTCTCTTCCCTGGGCTTTTGCCGGTGTGGCAGTGGCATCCCCTGGCAGGGTTTGGGCGTTGTAGATCCCTGCCCGGTGAGCATCGCGGTGCTGCTGGAGAAGGAAGCGCTGCCTGCCTGCCCCACGCATCC